ACTCCTGCCCCATGTGGCTGGGTCAGGACTTAGTGGAGATTGATTTGTTTCAAGAATGTCAAGAGCAGGCAATTTCAGTTTCTCCTTTCTTCAATTTGTATGACAGCAAGAAAAGTCCTAAAAGCACACCAGTGAGATCTTTGGGATGAAGCAAGAGTCCTTGCATTATTTTTCTTTCTGATTTTTCCTGAGGTGGCTCAGGGTTGGGTGAAAATAAGGCAGAACTTTAATATGGCACAGAAAGGTTGGTAGGATAGTCAGTGTGATGCAAGGTAAAAAGGAGAAAGGAGAAAGGCAAAAGGTGCAGCGTAAAGTTTGTGAGGATTATTATGGCATAATGTTGAAAATGATGTTTAAAGGTAAAATGTGAGAAGACATATATATAAAGGAACTGAAATAAGCTGGTTCATGCTTGGCATAATTAAACGTGGTTTAATCATAACTTGAATAGGATAACTTCTCAAGATTCTCTTCATTTGTAGAAATACGGAACTGAGCAAAGAGAAGAGTTTATAGGAAAGAAAGAATCAGAAATTTATACACGAAAACCAAGGAAAAACAGTAATGAAAAAATGGGTGGAATAAGAAATAACACAAAGGAAATTTCAAAAGAGAAAACATGAGAGAACACTAAGTTTATAAAAAATATGGAAGTAATTAAAGCAATTTAAAATTTTAATATCTCAAATGATCACCTTGAACTTAGCTGAACATTTTGTTATGTACGAGTACCACAATGTTGAGTAAGTACATGCATTTAAGGTATGGGAAAATATTTGTGTCAATCATTTCTGTAGTGAAGTGGAAATTCAGTACAGTTGAGGAAGTTTACCTTGAATAGAAACTTAGGTTTCTTAGATTTTATCATTCCCACTTTTGTTATAAATACAATTTAATTCTGTTATGTAATTCACAGGTAATTCTGTATAATGCTTTTAATCCATGGCTGAAGTCTGCCTTCCCCTTACTTTATAAACATAGCTTAAGGAAGAGAAATCTTTCAGAAGTATGTACAATGGTGGATATAACCATATATAAATTATTTTTCTTATGCCATATCACCTCTTCTTTCCATCAATCAGGAATTTTTATTGTTTCAAACTGACCTAAGTTAATATCATCAGGCAAACTCAGGGTTTGGTGAGTGAGTATTGCCAGTAGTTATAATGAAGGGAAGTTTAGATCAAATTCCGTTAAGCATACAAATGTTTATTAAACAAACAAGCAGGTACAAAATACTCTATACTCCTTGTCTTATAGGCTTCATTGCATTTCAGCTGCTATTTAGGGGCTCTGACAACACTTTGCATAAAAAATGCACTCAGCAGGTACAGGAACATATTTTAGGGACAGAAATCTGTTATCCAGAACTCTTGTCATATAGCACCATGATCCTCCAGACCAATGAATGGACACATAAGACAAATCTCAGCTGCTTCACCTAAGTGTACAGCCTACAAAGTTTGCTGAATTCTTGTATTCATGCAAAGTGGGGCAGTGCCTCTGAAATATTTTAGCTAATCTATAGATCTGGAACACCACAGGTTTCTTCATTGAAAAACAAATGTTTCAATATTTTCAGTATTTATTAGCTAACTGTTATTGCTTTTGTTGATTATCACAGACAGGCACAATTGAAACACTTTCTGATTAAGTACAGAAATGTGTATAATAAAGTAAAAATCATTAATTCTCCCTAGTCTCCCACCTCTTCCTTAGACACCCATTGTTAACCTCCTAGATTTTTATGTGTATACAAAATCAATTTGTATATACACTCATATAAACATATTTTTTTAAAATGTCCTGCTATGTGAGCTATTTTCTATGTTTCTTTTGCCTATAGGACAGAACAAGTCTGGTTTGGCATTCAAGGTACTTAATAATCTGTCTCCCCAACAACAGCTCTCTACATTTATTTTCTGATATTTTAGCCTTATACATTTAATATTCCAGCCTCTCTGGACTTCTCATAGTTCTCTGCTGTGCTATGCCCTTTCCAGACACTGTTCCTTTGATTTAGTCTGTTCTCTCCCTGGAATGCCTTTACTTTTCTGTTTTATCTGGCTAAATCTTTGAAATCTATTTCAGATGTTATGTCCTATATGAATCTGTTCCTAGTTTTCTTTTGTGGAATCATTCCTTCTTCTGTACCACCTTAGCATTTTGTATGTAACTTCGCTATGGCAATGATCTTCATTATAATAACTAACAAATATTGGCTCTACTATGTATAAGTTTAATTTTTTACATTTATTTAATTATATTTCCACATTATTTTGTAACTTATCCGCTTATATGCCTTTTCCCAAGTAGATAATAACTTATTTATCCATCTTTAGATCTAATATTTGGCACTGTACCTGGGCATATGATAGACGCTCAGCAAATCCATGTATGAAAGAATGAATATAAATAAATTGCTCTTCAGTACTTGTTATAAAAGGTAATGCATAGATCAGAATTGCTCTCTGTGAATATAGAATAGAAAAGATTACAGTATTAATTGAATGCAAAAGCCATGAGGAAATGGCATGTCTTTTCCCTTTAGAATGAATATCTTATGGAGAATTCTATAGCTATGCTGGATGATTGGGGAAAGCTAAGAAAATAAAAATACAGTTATCTTAGTCTAAGGTGCTTTAGCTTGTATTATTTGCTGATAGGCTTTAGCCTTTATATAAGTATTTGGATAGTTGTGACAGAATGAAATAGTATTCACGAGTGTAACATGAAAGTATAGGCAAAATGAGAGCAATGAGAAGAGAAAGGACTGCTATGCGGTGGGAATATAAATTGGGGTGTTTTTTTTTGCATATTTTGCATTCTTTGCCTATTTTAAAGTTGATGTCTAAAATACTTTTTATCATAAGTGAAAGTAGCTATGGAGGCTATAGTTTAAAACATTACATATTGTATATATGCCTTAATAAGTAACATATACTTTAAATAAATTTTGTCAAAACATTGGAGTTGCCTATTTCACTGAATCTTGAAAAATGTTCACCATATAATCTGATTGTCTAAATCAGTCCTCATTGCCAGACTACTTAGCTAAGTGAGACTTAATGTCTGTCAATAAGAAGCCTGAGTTCATTTTTTAGATCAAATGAACATGCTAATTCACTCCATGACAACCATCTCACTTCTGAATTCTAACTGAGTAGATATATAGGTTAATTTATATATAGTCAGACTGGCAGAAAGACAGAGTTGCCATAGTGAAATAAGCATCCTCTCCTTCAGTTTTTCTGGCTTTGCTCGTAAGGGATTATACCCCAGGATTGATGCCTTCTTGAATCATCTCTTTGCACCATCCTCTGGGGAAGTACACCAGTGGGCAATGCGCTACAAGGTTTGGGATAGGTGAGGGGTATGCTCTCTTTATAAAGTAGAAACAGGGCTATTGTGGAAGGCAAAAGAGGGCAGGAAAACTAGTGGCTTGCAAATGCATTCTCAGATCAGTTTTAGGAAAGAACACATGTGGAAGGTGAGGATTTCGGAAATAGGTTCCATTTAAACATTTGTATCTGCATTGTCCATAAAAAGTTTGTGTTTACATTTTCTTGAAGACTGTTGGTATGACTTGGGTCTATGTAACATCATAGACATTATACACTAGGATAACAACATAAACTGATCATGACCCGCAGAATATATTTTCTAGTGCTTTGGCAAATACACTAAGTACTCTCTTTATATCTTATGTTGGAGAGTGTATGATTGCAGATACTGTAGTCTCATGGTTTGCCAATTACAAGAAAAGAAAGGGGATGAGAATATGAATGGTCAGAAGAGAAAGGTATGCAAGAGAGGAAAAAATCCCTTTCCTCAATGTTAAGTGAAGAAGATGAAGAGTTTGAAATTCTGAAAAGAGGCAAAGCAAATCTCCAGCGATTTTAATGAGTTCAACAACACAGTGGTATACTGGTTGACATTTGTTTCTTGAAAATGCATTTTGATCTAATGAACGAGAATGGAATTAATTACTAACTCTTTCCCCAGTAATAGGGACTAGCCATTATTTATATACAATAAAAGAGAAATTTTACAACTTGGATTTTCCTGTAGTTTGTGAAATTTTATTTTTTACCTAAAAAACTTTTCATTTCTTGCATAAAAGACATAAGAATATTTGGTCTTTTAAAATTTATTTTTTATACTCACTTTAGAAACTGAATAATTTTGGTTTTAGAGAGTGGTTTACAAGGACAGTATAAAAATGCTTAAAATAAATGTTCACTTCAATATTGGTTTAGTTTTCTAAATGTACTATATTTTAAAATATGCAACATCACTTCATAGAACCCATCTTTCGTATTGAGTTATGATGCAGTACAGCATTAGAATAGTCTGACCAACATTAGGAAAGCTTACTATTGAGCTGTTTGTTTAGCTGTTTATAAAATCACTTATAAATATTTATATGTTAGTCATGCTTAATGGCTGGTATACAACTAGGAAAACTATGTGATATGTGTGATATCAATTTTATTCCTGTTTCTGTATTGCACAATTTTTTTTAAAACAAGAGCCTGTGTTAGAGTTGAAGGAAACCTAAATAGTGCTTTTGGTTCAGAAGTGTAAAATACTGTCTGTGGCTATAAGAAGAAAATATTCCAGCAAGTTCAAAAGTGATTGAGAATAAAAAGCCACCCGTTTTGCTTTTTGTACAAGCAGTAGCAAGCTTCAGACAAGCTAGTCAGCTTCAAAATAGTATGGTAGATGGTTTTATGGAACTCGCAATTACAAAAATCCACTTTGACCTTTCTTTCTTACTGGCAGGTGTCCCATTGGCTTGCAGCCAGAGGCTGTGAGTGTGGTGCAGCCGGTGTCTCCCCGAGTGCTGAGAATGCCGGCACGCCAGCCGGCTGCTAGTAATTGCATTCATTGTGGTCTGACAACCAGATCTCCAAGAAAGAAATGTGATGAATATATGAACATTTCTTACAAATTTAATCAGATTACAAATTTTATCTCTTTTTTTTTCTCCTCTATAGGTATGATATCTGCACTTATAAAAATAAGCCCTGTGGAACACTAGGTAAGTTTTTTTTAAAAGGAAGGATAGTTCAGATTGTTGGTCCAACGGCTTTACTTTTTATTAACTTAGTCATTTTCCTTTCTGGCACATCTGAATTTACTCCTATAAATGGCTAAACGTGACCTTGGTAGATATGTCACTAGGAAACAAACAGAATGATGATTAAAAATAACTTAAAAGATGTTTCAAAATAATGAAAACATCAAACAATCAAAAGTTACCACTCAATTTCTTATAATCTATCTCAGTATTTTCCAAAGAGACCAAGGGGTTTGAGAGCAGATTAAAGCAACCAGCATCTTCAAATTTCAGGCTAGGAAAAAGAAAGGGAAAAAATGGGGGATACTTCAAGGAGCGGCATTAAGAACTATACTTCTTTTGTTGCAATTCGGTGGAAAGGGATATCTCCATTAATTATTATTGGAAATTTTTAGTAACTGAAAAGAGGAAAGCAATTTGATAAAATACTGTAGTCAGCAGCAGAAAGGACAAAATTATCTTTCTTATGCTTTACAAATATATTTTCTTAAAGCATTTCTGCAGTCTAGAATTTAAAAAATTATTTTGTTGTAGACCATAACTTCATGCAGGTTTAAAGTTACCTGCTAATGTAAAGGGTAGCTTCAAATAGACTAAATTATTAAGCAATTAGAGTTATTTTAAGAAACAGGAGACTTTTTTTCTATAATTGTTTTAGTGTCATAGAGACTTTTTACAGACTTAGAAGTTAAGCAACTGAAGATGAATTCTCTAGTTTCTGTATTACAAGTCTCAATTTTTTTATCTGTAAAGAAATAATTACGGAATCTATTCCCATGTACCTCATAAAAATTTGGGGAAGACCACATTAAAGTAAAGGTTGGAGAAAGGTGTAACCCAATTTCCTGGGGAGTTCAGCGAATTTATCTCTTCAGAGATTAAAATTTCTTGATTTTACCTGCCTTTTCAGTCTTCTCTTACCCCATTTCCCTCAGGATTTAAGGCTACAGAAGAAATCCCAATCAGTAAATGATCAGTATTATGGTGGAGAAGTTTGCTAGTTAAAAAACATAATGCAAAAAGAGCTATCTTTGCTGAGAGATCTGATTTCTAAGATTTTCTTCGTAGTGTTTTAGGTTAACATGACCAACGTAGTCCAATGGAAGGGATCCTGAACTGGAACTGACAGCTGGCACTGTGCATTCATTGCCTTTTACAGTTTACTTAGCGCTTTGTTCCTCGATTTTCTTATCTATGAAATAGGAGTAAGCTGCCCTTATTTCAGGGATATTGTTAAAATCATTGAAGGAAGAAAATATAAAGGTATTAAGTAAAGAAGTACTATAAAACATGAACTGGTTGTATTATGTAATATAGAAATTATCTATACTGTTTAACTGACCCTCTGTTATTTTTCAAAATCTATAAGCATTTACTAAGTGCTTAATCAATTTTAGGTAAACTAGACACTAAGCCTCAAAGAAGGTACAAGCTAGAGCTTATAGTTTTCTAGTATATGTGTATATTTTGAGGAAATATATATGTGTGTATATACACACACATGTATATATCTTTACATATTCTAATCTGCTTCTTGAGGTATACTGAGATATGTAATTCATCGGGACATTAGTAATAACACTGCCTAATATTTTGTTGTCATTTTTGCAAAGTAGATTTGGTTTATATTCCTACCCTACCTCTCCTTTTATTCTTTTTCAAGATAATGTGTCACAATTTTGATAGTTTATTAATTTCTAGAATCAAAACAGTAATACTAGGGCACATGTCAGTGTATTTTCAAGCTCATTACAAATTATTTTTCAAATTATAAACCATTATAAACTGTCTTTTATACTATCTCTTTTAATGAAACCTGAATGAACTGCATATTATATATATATATATATATATATATGCATGTATCCACCTTCATATATGGAAAATATATTATCAGTACAGAATTGGGAAGGTTTTTTTTTTGAGTGGTCATCCTGGTAACTTTCATGTTGGTTTTTATGCTGATTCTTGTATATTTTCTTGCTGAGTACCTCTGATGACCACCTGTAACATGGCTAAGTAGATTTAAGGGTGCAAACTGTAGCCATCAAACTGAGGAAATCTAAATGACCCAAGTAGTAATCAAACCCCTGTTAATATAACCACATGTAAGAACTTTGACACATTCAAATATATTAGCATCTAAATTATTCTTTTATTTTAGTTAAGGTTTACCTTATGTTTTCAACAAGTAATAATTTCCCAAATTCGTTTTCTTAAGTTGTTCTTTTAATGGCGCTAACGATTTTATATCAGATAAAGAGGTAAATCTGTGTACAAGTACACCTTGGGTTGTTATTGACAATTCTCAATTAAAAATACAGCCACAGGGCACATGGCAAGCAACAACAATAACAATCAACAAAAAGCTCATCCAAGGAATATTATGTTTTGGGAAGTTATAAGAAATGTCAATTTAAGAATAATTACTTACAGTAATTTTTTTTAATGAAATTTCATAAAGCTCAAAACAAAAACAGTATTCAAGGGCTTTGTTCTTTTCATATCCTAAACCATATAAACCCAATAGCTTTTTAAAGCCAGATAACATATTGCAAACCTTTTTTGTATTCTTCTTCTCTTTGTCTCTCAGTGGAGTTTGGAACTAACATTTATTAAATATTTTTTATTAACCAAAAAAATTTTGGTCACCTTGTCCCAATTAGTCCATCTTTTCACTTCCCAAGATCCAAAGTTGCTTCAGGTCCCAAGACTTCTAAGTGACTGGAAGGGCAGCATAGCACTAGCATTTATAACTCTGTGAAACAGAAATCAGAGCCCCTTCCCCAGCTCTTGTGCCTTCCACAGAAAACAGCAGGAAAAGCAAACAATTAGCAAACCCAGCACTGACCTCAACTGTTTTAGTGTGGTTATTGTGTTGATATTTTAAATTAAAAGATACAGAGAAATAATTTCTAGAGCTTCCTTATCAGTGAAAATATGAATTGAATAGCTTTTACTGTTCTAAATTAGTGCAACTAGGAAATTGTACCTAGAACAGAACATGGATTATTGCACTAAATAAGTATTCATTGAATTGGATTGAAATCACTTTTGGTGGAAGACAACTATTAATATTTGGGTGATGATAGTAGACTACTAACATATACTACTGCTTTTCCTTCAACTTCTGTATAACTTTTGTCCGTATATGTGTTAAGTAAGACCTGGCATCTATTTCTTTCTAACATATGACATTTTATCTTTCACACAAAGTTCTATTTTCTAAGCACTATTTTAAAGTTATGTTCTATGTCTCAGAGCATGATATACATTTGGAAGTAAATATTAAAGCTTTTGCATACTAAAATTCTCAAGGGAAGAATACCTCGAGTAACGTAACATTTCACTAGAATCAGCGAATTAACACCATAGATTTTTATTAATAAAACTGCAATGCCTTGAGGGGGGATGGGAGGAAGGATAACTATGCTGATGTGTGAATGACTTTCCTCTCATTAAAATACTTCAAGAAATTGTTGCATCACTATCAGAGCTAATTTCAGAAAAGTTTTGAAAATGTGAAACTGTCCCATCAACAGTTTTTTTCCTCTTTTGAATCACTCATTTAAAAAATGTCATTTTAAAAAACCACTTGGGATTCCCTTTTTTTGGTAACTAAAAAGTTGCTTGTATATTTTTATGAACCCACTAAACTTAAACAGATCTCTTTAGAAAAATAATGTGGACATATTTTGCTTTCTACAGCCTGAAGAATGTTAAAATAGAAATGCTTTCTTGAATTCCCTCTTCTGGCTCAAGTTACTAGGTGGTCCCAAGTTACCAGAAGTAAAATTTATAAATCTAACCCCTAGTCTAGACATTTTCCAGCACTGACTGCAGTTCAAAAAATATTAATGTCTAGCCGGCAAAGTGAAACTCCCCCCAGTGATTTTGCAAATGACTAGAAAGTTAACCTTTTGCCAACTGCTCCTTCTGTGCATGGAGGTTATTAAAAAGAATCCAGGCATTTATAAGTATGGACTTTTTAAGACTGAAACACCTTGGCTTGACCCTTTGTGTCTCCTTCTGTTTATTCAGGCTTGGCCTCTGTGGCTGGAATGTGTGAGCCTGAGAGGAGCTGCAGCATTAATGAAGACATTGGCCTGGGTTCAGCTTTTACCATTGCACATGAGATTGGTCACAAGTGAGTGAGTTTAAGAAAATCAAAATAAATTTCAGAACTCCGCTCTTCTGAGCAACTCAAAACTACTGTGTGGAGTGCCTGGGCGCCACCATATTTTACTGCCTTTTTGTCTGATTCCAATAGAGAATGTTATCGTTTGGTGTATTGGAGTAAATCATCCTAAGAACTGGAGATTTGTTAAATAATCTTTTTGATTTAATGGCTAGAATCCCCAGAGTGGTAAATGCACCAAACTTAAGTTTTGTTGCATGCATTTGAAATAATTTAGCTTTAGCATGGTCTACTCAACACCTGGCTCCTTGATGTCAAATTGTTTAAATTATCTTTCTTTTCCTCAAGTGACAATGCCTATGTATTTTTAAATCATCATTGACACCATTACCATAAAATGCACTTTGAGTTGTCACTCTTCCAACAGCTGTGGGCATACTTTTCCCAGGCATAAAGTTTGTGCAGCCATTGCTGCATGACTTGTATTTTCAGGTGTACTTATCTACCACTGGAAAAAAACTGATGTTACGAGAGTACTGAGATATCATCCTCACTCCTTTGTAAGAGGATCTGGAGTTTTTATATTTGTTTTAAGTAAATTGTGTCAAAAGCTGTCCTATGCACCCCCATCCCCACCTGACATAGCAATAAAACCTTTCCTTTATTTCAAACAGGTAATAGTACATGTAAAAACCTCCTCATGTGGATGGAGAGAAGTTTGAAAACTTTAAAAGGGTAGTCAAACATTTTTAACTAAAACAAGCAGCCTGTTTGCAAGAACTTTTGACATTTGTATTATTTAAATTTTACAGTCTGCATTTTCAGTAGAGAAATGGATGGGGGAAAAGAACAAATATAAAAATAATGTTTATTATATACTTGCCTCAGAGGTCATTCCTGAGATAAATCTGTAGTTCAGCTTTTTTTCCCCCCCTTCAAACTGGAGAGTAAAATTGGGTCAGTCTGTTGCATTATTCTGAAAACTGTAATTAAAATTTTACCAGATTAGTATTGATTTATGTGTAAATTCAAGTAACCAGCAAATTTCAACCCTGACTTGATTCAGGCATAGGGAAAAGTTAGTATTACACTTTTAATGAAGTCCTAAAAATATTGGCATTCTAGTTTCCACTGCAATAAACAGCAGGGGAACAAAAGAGAAAAGCCCTCTTAAGCAGTCAGTTTATCTTTCAATGCACTTAAAAATCTGGCTCATTAATGACTGTCATAATCTTATGCAACCAGACTGAATTTAATAGGTTCTGTTAGATTCAATTAAGTTGAAAGGTTAGGACAAATAACACACAGTGGATGAATAATGCGTGTATGACAGCACTGTTACCTCATGCAGTCACAAGTTAGTCAGTGTCAACATATGCATCATACGTCCCATTCTTGTATGTGCTTAAATGGCTGAGGTGAGAATTTATCTCTTTTTGTATCTTTCATTAAAATTCTAACTGAGATACTCTCGGGATTCCTAAACATTTTTGTTGTTGTTGGCCTTATGGGTAATTCCTTTTAATTCTTCTTAAGATGGATGGTTTGAACCTAATGTAGAAGAATTGTCAAAGAGAAGTAGTACATAGCTTTTAAGATTTAGGTACCTTGGAGTAACTTTATTTCACAGCTAATTCTTGCTTGATATTGTGAATGTTAAAAATGTGGGGAAGGGAATCCACAAAATGCTTTATATTGAGAGCCAGAAGAAATGCTTCCATTCAAAAATGTTATCTGATAGGCTAAAAATCAGCTTTCTTGTCTTGCCCAGTTGATTACTTTTCCCCAGACAACTAGGTGGGTTGTGTTTAACATACTATCTTTTTCAATATGTCAGGTTGCTATTTGGTCAGTTAGGGAAAATCTGTTTCATGGTTGAAGATCCCTTTACTTGCCTTTAAGATCTTAAGGTTTAGCCTTAAGGAACTTAGCAAGTCAACTCTGGCACAAACTAATGTCATCATTAAAGTACTGTATTCTCTGTTCTTCCTGAAACAAAGCAATAGCCATGGTAAATCATCAAATACATCTTCAGATAAAGTCTACTGAACTTTTGTCACTTGCATTGTTTGGTAGGATGGATGTTAAGCGATATGATGATATGTGTAGATTCATCACAGTGAAGAATATTTGAGTGTGAATTACTGAGAAGTGCCGTACTGGGTTACTAGACTGTGTGGATATTGTCTACTTTTCTTCAAATTGTATACAATACGGTTTTGCACTCAGTGTATGGTTGTCTAAGAATATAACATCCATTTTAAACAGCTATAGGATGACTTTTTTCTTTCTTTTTTAAAAAAATTCATATAGTACTTTATTTTGTTTATTTATTTATTTTTTGAGAGGGCATCTCTCATATTTATTGATCAAATGGCTGTTAACAACAATAAAATTCTGTATGTATAGGGGACTCAATGCACAATCATTAATCAACCCCAAGCCTAGTTCTCAACAGTCTCCAATCTTCTGAAGCATAACAAACACGTTCTTACATGGTGAACAAGTTCTTACACAGTGAATAAGTTCTTACATGGTGAACAGTGCAAGGGCAGTCATCACAGAAACTTCCTGTTTTGATCACACATAATGAACTATAAACAATAAGGTCAAATATGAATATTCGTTTGATTTTTATACTTGATTTATATGTGAATCTCACATTTCTCCCTTATTATTATTGTTATTATTATTATTATTTTTAATAAAATGCTGAAGTAGTAGGTAGATGCAAGATAAAGGTAGAAAACATTGTTTAGTGCTGTAAAAAAAGGGCAAATGTAGATGATCAGGTGTGTGCCTAAAGACTAAGTATTAATCCAAGCTAGACAAGGGCAACAAAACATAGGGTGACTTTTTTATTTGGTTAGTTGGGGGTGGCCACTTTTATTTCTCTCCATGCCTCTGTGAAAACAAGAAATTAGTTTCCTTGTCAAATGAAAAATTTGAGGTTTATGCTATATTTAAATGACTTATCTAGCTTTAATGTAGGCTATAAGCCAAAGACACTTAATGAAACCTTATTAGAAAAGAATTCTTTGGAAGATTTTTCAGATTAATTATGAAGTTGCTATAGCATCAGAAATTGAAAAAAATTATGATGTTGAAGAAGGGTGGCAAGAATTCAACCCAGATGTCTAGTATATTGAGGCTATCTAATGTGTCTACACTGTACAACAGTAAATAATTTTAAGAAGAGATCTTAAAAATATTTTTTAAGGATGCATATTGAAGTATGCAGAACTCAGTGACAGGATATTTGAGAAAGGGAAAATAGGAGAAAGATAATGCAAGAATAGCAACATCTTGAATTAAATAATCCTGATTATGTGTGCTTGGGAGTTCATTATGGTACTCTCTCTAATATATGTGTGTGATTTTTTTCACAAAAGAGAAGAGTTCCTAATATCATAAATCCTTTAGATTAAATCATAAATTCATTTATTCATTAATAGTGATTGAGTAAACTATAACTCTGACTTTGATAACTTAAAGAAGTGCTAAAAATTGTATTGAAACCTGCAGGGATTTATCGGTCTTGCTATTGGAAATCAATATCAGTGTTTGATCTTATCAATAGGGATATAGTTCCTATAGAAAACTGGTTATGAATTGTTTTCATGGATATTTTTTAAAAGAGGAAATATGGCAAGACCTCAGCATAAAATTGTACATTAGATTACCTGTGTTAGATTACCCTATTACTGTTTTCTTTACTCTGAACTTCCCTTCTCCTGCTGCAAGTACCTCAATGTCTTTAAATGCTTGATCAGTGTTGTGCTTTAATAATAGAAGGTTCATAATAAACATATGTGCTGAGATATTTGGGACTTTAATGCTTTTCTCTGGTTTTTGTGTTGAAATAATGTTAGCCTTATAAAATGAGTTAAGAAGTATTCTATTTTCTAGAAGGGTTTACTTTCCCATGAGTACATTTTAAAGCATTATTTAGGTGTAATTTACATATAATAAATATGCATCCATTTTGTTACAGTTTTATGAATTTTAACAAGTATATGTAACTATGTAACTACCACAATCAAGATATCAACATTTCCATTATCTGAAAAAGGCCCTTTATTACACTCAATCTTCACCTTTCTCCTCCTTTCCCTGGCTCAGACAAACACAGATCTACTTTCTATAACTATAGATTAAACTTGTCTTTTCTGTAGTTTCTTTTAAGTGACTTATACAGTGGGCACTCTTTTGTGTGTAGCTTCTTTCCCTTAACACAATAGTTTTGAGATTCATCCATGTTATTGTGTATATCAATACTCTTTTTTTCTTGAATAGTATTTCATATCAAAATAGCACATATCAAATTTTAGTTTTTTTCTCATTTGGGGCTATTATGAGTAGAACTATTATGAACATCCATGTACAAGTATTTGTATGGACATATGCTTTCTCTTGGGTGGTACTGCTCGTAGTATGGTATATGTTCGTTTTACTTATAATAAAAAAACTGCTTTTCAAAGTGGCTATATAACCTTTTGCATTCCCACTAGCAATCTATGAGAGTTGTGATTACTTTAGATCCTTGCTGACATTTGTTATGGTAATCTTTTTTATTTTAGCTATTATAATGCATTTTAGTAGTATCTTGTTTTTATTAGTTGATCATCTAATTTTCTGATAAATAATGATGTTGGTAATGATGAGCATCTTTTCATGTGCTTATTTGTCATTCATTATCTTCTTTGTATACTCCAAGACTTTTCCCATTTTTTAAAAACTGAGGTATTTTCTTACTGAGTTGTAAGAGTTGTCAGTATATTCTGGGTAAAAGTCTTCATAATGTGTATACATAATGTGAATATTTTCTCCAAGTCTGTTGCTTGCCATTCGTTTTTTAATGGTGCTGTGAAAAGCAGAATTTCAAAATTTTGATGCAGTCTAATTAAAAATTTTTTTTGTAAGTTTCATGTGTTTGTGTTTAAAAAAATCTTTGCCTGCTTCAAGATTATGAAAATTTTCCCCTATGTTTTTGTCTAGAAGTTTTACAC